CTACATAAGTAAATAGCTTTTCTGAATGGGTTTTAAGTGCATTTCACTTGATCATGTAAACAAAACCCTAATTTCTTGTTATATTATGATTTTTGCAAGTGCATTCAGAATACACTTTGAAGTATTTAGAAGACCTTTTTCCCTCTCTCTTCAGTTGCCCACAAAGAGACAGGATTCTTCTAGAGTGTTTGTTTTATAGCATGCTTAAGGAATGCATTTAGACTTTAAGGGAACAAAAACTAGATCTGCATCTCTGACAATATTTCCAATGCCATGTGATAATTTATGTGACTCAGAAATGACGGTCCCAATAATATTTTGTCCAACTTATCTCTTATCATTGATTCAGTTCTCATTAATGTTACTTACAATGCAGAGTTTTGGAAACAAGTTCCTCCCAATGAACCCTACCGTGTTATTCTTGCTGATGTGAGGGACAAGCTGTATCACACACGTGAAAGGTCTCGTCAAATGTTATCTCATGGTATCTCTGACATTCCAGAGGAAGCAACTTTCACCAACATTGAGCAGGTCTATGTCTGGATATCTTATATCATGGTCTTATTATTAGTTTGGACTCCTCCAGTGAAATAGAGATTTACTATTACATTTCCCCCTTGACCATATGTAGCTTTGTTAAAAAATGGACAACAGCTAGCAAATCCAATTTCATAGTTCTGCTCTATCTGTGGCTTTATGTGCTGGGACTGCAATGTCTTGAACCTTAATTCTAACTTCCATTTCACTTTTTCTGCCGTCGTTGCAACGTCTTCTCTTACAAGGAGTGAATTGTTGCAGTTTAAGTATAAAACAGTGGCAAATAAGAATAGGAAATTCCCCTGCCAAACAAAAATAGTAATTTTTGGTTTTGGTTCTAAAGGACCATACAAGGTCATCTCAAGTAATTGTTTTGGTCTTGATCTTAAATAACCTTTGCTTGTGTTTATTTTTTTATGGTAACCCCTTCTTAACTGGCTTAAACTTTAATTAAGTCTTAAATTTTATGCAGTTTTTGGAGCCTCTTGAAGTTTGTTATAGATCACTTTGCTCTTGTGGTGACCGATCAATTGCTGATGGAAGCCTTCTTGATTTCTTGAGGCAAGTGTCAACTTTCGGCCTCTCTCTTGTCAGGCTTGACATCAGGCAAGAGTCTGACCGCCACACAGATGTCTTAGATGCTATTACGAAGCACTTGGAAATTGGTTCCTACCGAGAGTGGTCTGAAGAACAAAAGCAAGAATGGTTATTATCTGAATTAAGTGGCAAGCGCCCATTATTTGGTCCTGATCTTCCTAAAACAGAAGAAATTGCTGATGTTTTGGACACATTCAATGTCTTAGCAGAGCTCCCAGCAGACAATTTTGGAGCATACATCATTTCAATGGCAACTGCTCCTTCTGATGTTCTTGCTGTTGAGCTCCTGCAGCGTGAATGCCATGTGAAGCAACCATTAAGAGTTGTTCCACTGTTTGAGAAGCTTGCAGATCTGGAGGCTGCACCTGCTGCATTGGCTCGGCTCTTTTCAATAGAGTGGTACAGAAATCGAATCAATGGCAAACAAGAAGTGATGATTGGGTATTCAGATTCTGGTAAAGATGCTGGGCGACTCTCTGCTGCCTGGCAGTTATATAAAGCTCAGGAGGAGCTTATAAAGGTTGCTAAGCAATTTGGTGTGAAATTAACAATGTTCCATGGTCGTGGTGGGACTGTTGGAAGAGGAGGTGGTCCCACCCATCTTGCTATATTATCGCAACCACCAGAAACCATTCATGGGTCACTTCGTGTTACAGTTCAAGGCGAAGTTATTGAACAATCATTTGGAGAGGAGCACTTGTGCTTTAGAACACTCCAGCGTTTTACAGCCGCCACACTTGAGCATGGTATGCACCCTCCAATTTCACCAAAACCAGAATGGCGTGCATTGATGGATGAAATGGCCGTTATTGCTACTGAGGAGTACCGTTCCATTGTGTTCAAAGAACCTCGGTTTGTTGAATATTTCCGCCTTGTAAGTGAACTTGCATTATCATGTTCTTAACACCATCTAAACTAATTAAAATCAGTTTTTGATTGAATGATATTGTTTCTTTTGTCTGTAGGCTACACCAGAGTTGGAGTATGGTAGGATGAATATTGGTAGCCGACCATCAAAGAGGAAGCCAAGTGGGGGTATCGAATCTCTCCGTGCAATCCCATGGATCTTTGCCTGGACGCAGACAAGATTTCATCTTCCTGTCTGGCTTGGCTTTGGAGCAGCATTTAAACACGTCATTCAGAAGGACATTAAGAATCTCCATATGCTGCAGGAGATGTACAATGAATGGCCTTTCTTCCGGGTGACAATTGATTTGGTTGAAATGGTCTTTGCAAAAGGAGATCCTGGGATAGCAGCCTTATATGATAGACTCCTTGTTTCTGAAGAACTGTGGTCATTCGGAGAGCGGTTAAGGACCAACTCTAATGAAACAAAACGCCTTCTCCTCCAGGTACACTCATTGGAACATGATGCCTTCTATTATTTAATTTTTTTCAAAAAATAATACAGTTGTTAGCACAAATTCAGATCCAGATTCTTTAAATCTTTCCCAGGCAATGTATTTGGATTTCAAAATCCAAAGCAAAATTCCCCCTTCATATATTGGTTGACCATGAAGATTTTTTTTTTCTTGGAGCAATTAGAAAGAAACGTAGAAGCTATTTTGCCAAATGAAAGTTGATACTTGAACTGTGTTTAAAGTCACATGCTCTTTTTCTCAAATCTAAACCCTATGTTTAAAGCAATTACAAATTTATGCTAAATTCATGTCCTGCAATGACGCCCAAATCCTGTCAGATTGGATGCAAACTCTCTGAGAATTAATAACAATGGGCCAATATGGAGTCTTCTGAACTTATTGTTAGAAAACTCAAGCAACTTAATCTTTTTCTCTTATATTTGCAGATTGCTGGGCACAAAGATCTTCTGGAAGGGGACCCCTACCTAAAGCAAAGACTCCGGCTGCGTGATTCTTACATCACAACGCTAAATGTTTGCCAGGCCTACACACTTAAACGGATCCGTGATCCAAATTACAATGTGAAGTTGCGGCCACATATCTCCAAAGAGATTATGGAATCAAGCAAACCGGCAGATGAACTTGTGAAACTGAACCCAACAAGCGAGTATGCCCCTGGTTTGGAGGATACCCTTATTTTGACTATGAAGGGTATTGCTGCCGGCATGCAAAACACTGGTTAAACCTACTGCTCAATGCTTATAGATTTACTCCAGAGAACAAGAATTATGCATCGAAGACAGATGCTATATCAGCATAAACCTTTCTTATAGTTAAAGAAAAGAAGTGGATGCTTTTTAAATTATCCGGCATAAGGTCATCAAAGGTTTGGTGACCGACATAAACTGTATAAGTATGTTGCTGTGCTTAGACGCTTTTTCCAGTGGCAAAGTGTTTATTACTGCCACAAAATGGACCGGAGTGGAACTTCATGGAAACTGATTAATTATGCTTTAATATATTTGGTTTTTGTTTACTTATCTTTGGTCTTTCTAGCTTATTGATAACCTGCAGCTTCTCCGTGCATGCATATATTCCTTTGAGTTTTAGGCATTATTGTTGACAGGGACGATTAATGTCTACTTTTATACTAATACTGTGAGACCAATGTCATTAATTATCATGAAATGCCCTCATTATTGAGAAGAAAATTGTGAGACCTTGGCTTGACAAAGAAAATGTTATTTATTTTTAATTTTAGTTATCAGACAATCTCAAAAATTACTTCTTTCGTTTTTAATTTCAATGACCTGACAATTTTAGTTATAAAATTATAAGAAAAAATGGTTGGTGAGATATAATGTAGGAGTGATATAAGGAACAGTTTCACGTTACTTTTGGTGTATAATTTTATAATAATATAAAATAAAATGATATTATAAATATGATTAGATTAAATAATATTATTTTATTTTGTGTTTGATATATGTAAAGATTAAAATAAAATAATTTATTTATTGGTTAAAATTATTTTTTTTTAATTTATATAATTTAAATTATTGATGTAATTTTTAAATGTATAATTAGATATATAAATTTAATCTCATTGATTAAAAATAATCTTCTTCACTTGAGAAGATTGAATAATTTTATGTCAAAAAGATATTAATCTTTCTTACAATCTATATCTTCTTCTTTAGATATAATCATAATTTAAAATAAGTATTATCTTATTCAATCAATAATCTTATGTATTAAATATAACATGTTACTTTCATAAATAATTTTTTTCCAATATGATGACCTCATTTGATGCTTTATTTAACCAAATCATATGCTGCCATTTTAGAGAAAATATTTTTTGGGTGTTTCTAAATACATTTTAGTCTTTTTTCTTCATAACTCAATTATTTTTTTAATTATTTATAAGTGAAATTATTTATTTATTTTTTTTCGTATAACTTTTTAAAAATAAATTTTTAAAAGTTGTCGAATATTTATTTTTGAAAATCTTTAAAATTTTTTGAAAAATCATTTTCGGAAGTTCTGAAACACATTAAAATATTTCAATACAAAATTATACAAAATTAAATATGAAATCAAGCAAAAAATTAAAAAAAAAAACCAAATGATTCAAAGTATTTAAAAGTAAAAAAGCATTTTAAAATTTTGCCTAAAGTAAAAAAGTATAAAATCAATTAAAATATTTTGGTGTGATTCAAAATTTTTGAAAATAAATTTTTGATAAAATTTAAAGATTTTCGAAAGTAAATTTTTAGAACATTTTAAAAGTTTTTAAAAATAGATTTTTAAAAAAAATTTTAAAAAAACTTTTAAATGCTTTCGAAAATAGAGTTTTGAAAATTATTTGAAAAAAAATAATTAAATAATTTTATTTTAAAAATTAAAAAAAAAAAAACTGAAATTTTAAGAGAAAAGGGTGGGGTACATTTTGCAGCCGTGCATTTTTTTTTTTTTTCAGAGGTATTGATTGTTATGTATTTATTATATGAGAATTAAGTGTGACTTCGTTAAGAAGAAAAGCATCATTGCCACGGACCTTGCTTTTTTTCTCAAAGCCACTGCTCCTCTCTTTGAAAATTCAACCTTTCTGCCGCAAAAAACAGCACCGACTGAGTCACTTCTCACTCTCTCGAACCCGAAAAGTAAAATTCCCAAAATGTCCCTCTCGACACGGCAGAGGCGAGCTACGACGTCGGATCTTCTGTCATCATCGTCATCACAACCGTCGAAACCAGAATCATACTCGAAGGTGGACAAGCCAGGACAATCATCATCATCGGACAGCGGGGAAGAGTCAGGAAACGACCGCGGTTTGGGGTGGTTCACGGCGTTGTTTGCGTTAGGAATGCTACGCTACATGAGCGCCACATCAAATATAATACATGACTGCGATGAAGTCTTCAATTATTGGGAGCCTCTTCATTATCTTCTCTATAGATCCGGTTTCCAAACTTGGGAGTATAGGTAAACGACTCTACATACGAATTTAATCGTACGCACTTTTATCTATAAGGTTATTTGATTGTTAAGCTTTCCTTAGTGAGTGAGAAATTAATGGAAAGCGAGGGAATTGGAAATGGAATTCTTTGGGGTATTTTATACTGTCATGATTGTTTGAATTTAGTCTTTGAAGTAAGAATTAAAGTTAGCTACTACTGGCTGTTACATAAGCAAACATATTTATGGCCTATGGATCAATGCTGCAATGCATGTATATGATTGTGTTAGACATGCTCGTGTGTGGGTTGGGCTAGATTTTGTTCAAAATAGGAATGGAGGTAATCAATGAACTTAGTCCGGATTCTTTGTGTGCTGGAATGTATGTATTTGGAAATGGATTTTAATTGAATTTTTTTTGGGTAAAATCTAAATGCATTACATAGTTGGAATTAGGGCGTTAAGTGAATTAAAAAGGTTTATTTGTTTTCGCAAAGTAGTTATGTTTGGTCATAATGTTGCATTTGATTCATTTCCTTCTTCCATAGATGTTTGAGCATTGTTGTATATTCTGGGAGCATGAATCTGCAATCTTTTTTGAAATTATTAAAACTTCTGTGGTTAAAGTCTACCCTTGTCAGTTAAAAACATTCTTATCATACATTTGTACTGCTACTTGGCAGATAGTTTGTCATGGTGATCAGATGGTTCTAAGTTGTCAGAAATTATTGTTATTATTATTATTATTATTATTATTATTATTATTATTATTACTGGGGCAGTGATCTCTTGTGTATGTCCATTACAGTTCTGAGTTTGCACTCCGATCATATTTGTACATTATTTTCCATGAATTAGTGGGTCGACCTGCTTCCTGGCTGTTTGCCGATGAAAAAGTAAGTTTCAACCCTTCTAAGATGTTAATTTTCCTTCTTCTTTTTTCTTTTTTATTTTGAACAGTCTTTATATTTGCTTTTTTATCTTACAGGTGAGAGTTTTCTATGCGGTGAGACTCTTTCTTGGTCTTCTATCTGTTATTTCAGATGCAACTCTAGTGGTAGCTGTTTCCAAGAAGTATGGGAAACGTTTTGCTTCTTATGCACTTGCAATGCTCTGCTTAGCTAGTGGTTGCTTCTTTGCCAGCACAAGTGAGTGGCTTTTTCCATCTGTCTATGTCATCTACCTCTATATAGATTTAAGTTGCATCCTTATGCTTTTCCATGTTGTTTGTCATTGGCTTTCTGTATCTTCTAACAAAGTAATCATTAAATGCAGTTTTCTACTATATGATAATGCATAATTCAATCCATTTTTCTCTTGGATTTCCTGTTTTTATTATTGTGAAATTCGTTTCCAGGTTTTCTGCCCAGTTCATTCTCTATGTATGCCATGAGCCTCTCTTCAGGGTTATTTCTTCTTGAGAAACCTGCATGGGCTGTTGCAGTTGCAGCTGTGGGAGTAATCCTAGGTTGGCCATTTTCGATCTTGGCATTTCTTCCGGTCGCATTGTACTCCTTAGTTAAACAATTCAAACAAGCATTTCTTTATGGTGCTGTCACCTCAATTGCTCTTCTTGTAAGTGTATTTAATCACTAATCTGATTATTATCTGTGAATTTTCTGGATATATGATTTTGATATCTTAACTTAGTGATTTTCATTATTTGTAATTCATTCTTAATTAGTTTTTCCATTTGTTGTTCAATTGTGAATAATTGTTCATTCTCCAGGCACTTTCCATACTTGTTGATTACTACTACTACCAACGATGGACATCATCTGTTTTCAATCTCTTAGTGTATAATGTCTTGGGAGGTGGTGAGAGCCATTTGTATGGGACTGAGGGGCCACTTTTTTATATAAGGAATGGGTTTAACAACTTCAACTTCTGTTTCATCCTTGCTTTGCTTTTCCTTGGAATTCTGCCAATTGCAAGGAAAAAGTATGCCCCAGACCTGCTTGTTGTAATCTCTCCTCTTTATATATGGCTTGCCTTTATGTCTCTGCAGCCACACAAAGAAGAAAGGTATGATTAATCTTTATTATCTTAAACGTCCTTACCAATTTTTGTTTAGATTTTATCTTTCCTCTTTGGTTTTCCTGACATAAAATAGATTAATGGATATAGAATATACTATTGTAGGACTTTTAGAAGTTTCAAGGAGGGTTCAGAAATTGCTTTGGCCCTCATGCTAATCTTGCATGATATGTTGTGCAAGGGAACAAACGCAGCAGTTGTTATTGCCTTTTTGCATGTCCTTAAAAACCTTTAATGTGCTTTTTAAATAGCTACCTCTGTTCTAGAAAGAAATTTGTAGCTAATTTGAGGTCTTACTGGATTCTCATTTTGTCATCCATCTTGCCTGCTTTGAGGTGTAACAGTTCATTATATTTAATTGTCAGTGCAGATTCCTTTATCCCATATACCCGCTTGTTTGTATCGCTGCTTCAGCTGTCATTGAGAGCTTTCCTGATCTTTTCCGGGACAAATATAATCCCTATGATAATTCTATAATAGTTATGGTGGGCATCTTCTACATCTCTTTGATTCTCTATGCCTACAATATTAATCTCTCATTCAAATAAATTTGGCATGTTTATGCAGATAGCCAAAATTCTTAGACCTCTGGCCCTCAGCTTCATATTATGTGCCTCGCATGCACGCACATTTTCATTGATCAATGGTTATGCTGCTCCTTTGGAGGTTTACAAGATCTTGGAGCACCATGATGATGCAGGAACTGGTAATGAATACTTTTTCTTCCACAATGCACTATTATAGTAGCTTATTTATTTTTATTAAGTATTACTTATCTGAAAATAGCTTTTCTTTCGGACAGCAGCAATGTACAGTTGACATTTATGTTTATGTAGAACTTTATCAAGAATGCATAACATTATATTTCCTTGCATGTAGCTCTTTTTTCCTTTACTAATGTCAATTGTCTGTTTTTCTCAATTGCCTTGTAGTTATAATAAAAATTTTCATAGATGAACTCATTTACTAGATTTTCCTGATTTGTATAATTGTTTATACATGCCATGTATGCTGAAGAATGATGTTATCAACAAAATCAAAAGCTCTATTCTAGGTTAATGGAAACAATATAAAGCAAAATATTTTTAATGATTGCAGGTTCTATACTTTGTGTTGGAAGTGAGTGGCACCGTTTTCCATCATCTTTTTTTGTTCCTAATTATGTTGGTGAAGTGAGATGGATTGATGATGGATTCCGAGGTCTTCTTCCATTCCCTTTCAATGCTACTCTTGGTGGGACTTCAGCTGGACCACCATACTTCAACAATAAAAACAAGGCATCAGATCAGCAATATGTAATAACTAGCTCGAATAGAATAACTTTAATCTCTATGCTTTTACATTCGTATGTTTTTCTGGTGTAGTAATTGACCCAGAATATGAATTGCAGCTCCAGGATCTTCAAGCTTGTACATTCCTGGTTGAGTTGCAGCTCAACCGGCCTTACCCTTATCGTGGAAATGACTTATCAACATGGGAGGTAAAAAACAGTATATTTTTATTTTATTTTTTCTCTTTTTATGTTCTTCTTCTCATATGATTTATTGAAATTGCACCTGTTCCAGCCTATTGCAGCACTGCCTTACTTGGACAGGGAGCTCTCACCTGCCAAGTATCGGTCATTTTTCATCCCATACTTGTGGCAGCGGAAGAATGTCTTTGGCATGTACAAACTTCTGAAAAGAGTATCAAAACCAAAATGATAAATGACATCTTTGTTATTTCCTCCTCTGTTCTAGTGTTTTTTTTTTTTTCCTGTAAGGAGTAACCTGAAAAATACATAAAAGAAAGGAAAAACAGAACACTAACACACATTGACCCCAGTTTTTAGATGATTTTATAGTCGTTCTTGCTTTATTTAGGCTTTATGCCGTGTTTGTGCTGATTAAGTTCTCTTGTTACTTGGTTTGTTTAATTGATTTCATTTCCTCGGTTCTAAGAAAAGTTTACAAATCAGCAGATCAAATATATTTTAGTGCAGTTGAAGCGACCAATATTCCACTGGTTTGCATGTATGGCAAGCGATGCATTCTTTATACCACAATTACTGCGATGAAAAATAAAAAATGTTGATCGTCACCTAACCAATAAAACTATGCAAATCCAGGAAATAATGTGTCGATCAAACACGATATACGGGAAGTACTGACAGGTAAGGTTGAGATGCATGAGCGAGTAATTGCTGCAGCAAGCATGAAGGTACCTGCTTCGTTAACACATTCAGAGCCATGGAGCTATACTTTGGCAACATCTGAAAGCACGGTTATGCCATCAGCCAAGGAATGGGTACTGCCATCATAAGGGTTTCATTCGCCACAACCCTTTCCCTGCCAAGCAATCCTATGCCATTTGAAGCATGTGGCCACGGGCACACTTTCCCATACCCTGTAACATTGCAAAATTTGCACTTCACTCAACTCATCATATCAACCCAAAGCAGTTTGATCAAACGCTTCTAAATGAGAAGTTATCAAGTTAACAACTTAAAAGTTGCAAGAAAAAACTAACCTAACCTTTTAATCTCTTATATTGTCATCCCATCTATGGATATGTAAAGATTTTAATGCAAAACCTTTCTTTTAAAAATTAAAAGATGATATTTTTTGGAAAAAAAAAATTCAAGAACATAATTCTAATTGGAGTATGATATATAATATTAATATGTTTAATTTAAAAATGTTATGACATAAAATGGTAAGTTAATATTTTCAAAAGATATATATATATATATATATATATATATGAACATAAGATGTAAAAATTTGATTGAGATCTCAAGATTCTAGAAAATCTTTTGTTTATGATTATGATAAGATTTTTAATTTTTTTTTTGTCTATTTTTGGTATTTCTGTTAGTCATTACACATTTAAAATCATAATCTCTTTTGTTCTTCTTCCATTCATCTATTTCATACCCTCACTATTAGATAATTAACTGTTTTTTTTTTTCTTGAAAATAGTTAAACCAATTAAAAAGAATGAAGAACGAGTCTCTCTCCTATTATAATTCCTTAAAAATAGAAAACTTGAATAACTACCGTATGACCCAAAAAACCACTAACAATCCCTCCTTATAAATTTACCCTTTGTTTTACAAGCTTTGATAACCCAATAAAGGAAAAAAAAAAAGAAAGCAAAAGCAATAAAATAAAATGGCAAAAGCTTCCGTGATTGCCCTTGTTTCCTTGGCAATTTGCCTTTCGTCCTTCCTCAGCTTCTCCTATGCCGAAGACCGCTTCTTCGTCGAAGGCAAAGTTTACTGTGACACTTGCCGTGTGGAATTTGAGACCAGACTCACCGAACCTATTAAAGGTAAAATCAAATTACTACTTGTTCACAAACTTCTTTTCGTTTCTTATGTTGTGATAAACCTTCAGTAATACCACTAACATGATATGTTACGAATATGAAATTTAGTCTAATTAATTCATGCAAACATTTTTAAGAAAAAATTTTTCATATCCCAAATTAAGAGTTTTTTGTAAAAGAAAAAAAAGAGATATGCAATAAGCCCTATGAGAAGACAGTCAACTCGTTTCACCGGCACCGACGCACACATATAGTATCGTTTTGAGGCATAAATGCAGCGAGCATGTATATCAACCCCAAACAAGTTCTACGTATAGAAATTCGAACTTTGAACATACGATTTAGTTCTTCTTTTTAGTAGATTCCTTTATCATTTACTCGATTTACAAGAGACAAATGACGATATTGCTCGTAAAGATTGATTCAATTTATCAAAATCGGCTGACGAAGTTTTGATATATATATCTTGTGGTTTTTTACAGGTGCAACAGTGAACTTGGAATGCAGGAACCGTACCCTCGATGGCAGTATCACATACAGCCGAGGGGCAACTACAGACGAATTGGGCAAATACAGCATCGAAGTCGAGGGTGATCACGCGGAAGAAATTTGTGAAGTCAGTGTTACCAAGAGTCCCAGGGAAGATTGTAATGAATTCATGGAAGCATGGAGAAAAGCCAGGGTTCTCCTCACCAAGAACGATGGAGTAATCGCGCCCGTTAGATATGCCAACAGTCTTGGGTTCTTGAAGAAGAAAGCTGTCCCTGGTTGTGCTCAAGTTCTTAAAGAAATGGGTTTCGTTCCTCTTCACTAAGGACATTAAAGATTTTTACTTGTAGCACACTTCACCTTTTACCTATATAAAAACAATGTTTAGCATCTTTTTTTGTTCAATTATGGGCAAACCTAGATGCACTAACATATTGATCTTAATATAACAATTTATAATTTCTTATATAAATCGTGTTTTTAATTTTTTATTTCGATCATTCTCTCTTTCTGATACGATTAAAAATATTTTCAAGTTTACTTAAATTTAATTTTTTTCTCTAATAATGTGATCAGATATATTTTTTGAATTTACTTAGATTTAATAAATTTTTTAAATGATCTTAAAAGATTTTAGATTTTTCGGTTTGAAATCTCAAGAATTAATGCAATTCTAATTTAACTTGTTTCCTTCCTCAGAAATTCAGATAAGTAAACCATTAACAGTTATTTGGCTAAAACAAATATTAAAAGTTTAACATCACAGTCTTCTAATTTTTTTGTAAAATTTTTTCCCACAAGAAATGCATATATATATATATATATATATATATTTATACACACACACACACCATTTTCATTACTCTCATTTCAGGTCCATGTCCAATCTCATGTTACTCAATTTTGGGTCTATTTGCATGAACTGTCATCAATCATCATAGCAGAATTGCATTGCAGAGGCAACAAGCTTCTGCTGTATAAATTTAATAGGATAAATAGGTAAAGTTTTCCAACCCAAAAAATAATAATAATGTGATTTTAATTAAATTAAAGACCTAAACAACCTCTTACTCAAAAAGTCAAATTCAAATCCTCTGTTTTTTCTAATAAAATATATGATTTTTTTTTTTGGTGAAGAACAACCGTTATAATTGAGTTACTATTCATAATTTATCAAAAAATTATACTAAAATAAGATTTTAGTGTTCCATATTGTTGATGGTTGACTCATTTTTTCACCATATAAAATATGGGCCTAATTAATTCCATCAAAAAGCTAATTTTGATAGCCATAGAGCAATGCAAGAATAGATTGATGCTACCAACTTTCAATTTTTAGATCATATAAATCACATGCAAAGATATAGTCATGTTATCCTTTTAATTTTGTTGATTTTTGAAAAAAAAAAAGGTTAGCACTTATATTAAAGAAATAGTCTACGAAATATTCTAATTTTCTTATTATTATTTATATAAAAATCAATGAAATTAAAAGGATAGTGACAAATGTCAATAAAATTGAAATACAACGACAAAATTAAATTTTGAATCATAATCTAGTGACAAATTTAATCTTAATCCCTATTTGTCAATATACTTGTTACATATAGTTCCCATGAATTTGCAGTATGGTCATTTTTGTCCCATGAAATATTAAGTCAAATTCTTTTTCTAACAAAGAATCCAAATCTAAGATCATAAACACTAAGAATATATATGGTGCGAAAAAGATTTCTATGGAGGGCCTTAAACTCTTTTGCACAAACTTTTTTTTTTTTTGGTCAATTTATTCTGTGTTTAATTCAATGAATGGAATCCTTAATGGTCAACATTGTTCCACCACTATCCAACTTGATATCATTATGAAAATAGTAAATCAAATATTGGCTTTTTTTTCCCCAAATTTCAAAAATAAAAGAAAGTTTCCATTTAAGTTATAATTAAATGAGGCATATATTAATTTATGTAAAGCCTAATTGCTATTCTAATATTTATTATTTTTAAGTAGAGGAAATTTGCAAATCGATTTTAAAATTTTCATTTATTTAATTTTTTTATACTTATTTTATTATTGCTTTCTAAAAAACAAAACTTTAATCCTAACAACACGTAATATTTAATTTTCCTTCTTCTTTTTTCTTTTTTATTTTGAACAGTCTTTATATTTGTTTTTTTATCTTACAGGTGAGACTTTTCTATGCGGTGAGACTCTTTCTTGGTCTTCTATCTGTTATTTCAGATGCAACTCTAGTGGTAGCTGTTTCCAAGAAGTATGGGAAACGTTTTGCTTCTTATGCACTTGCAATGCTCTGCTTAGCTAGTGGTTGTTTCTTTGCCAGCACAAGTGAGTGGCTTTTTCCACCTGTCTATGTCATCTACCACTATATAGATTTAAGTTGCATCCTTATGCTTTTCCATGTTGTTTGTCATAGGCTTTCTGTATCTTCTAACAAAGTAATCATTAAATGCAGTTTTCTACTATATGAGAATGCATAATTCATTCCATTTTTCTCTTGGATTGCCTTGTTTTTATTATTGTGAAATTCGTTTCCAGGTTTTCTGCCCAGTTCATTCTCTATGTATGCCATGAGTCTCTCTTCAGGGTTATTTCTTCTTGAGAAACCTGCATGGGCTGTTGCAGTTGCAGCTGTGGGAGTAATCCTAGGTTGGCCATTTTCGATCTTGGCATTTCTTCCAGTCACATTGTATTCTTTAGTTAAACAATTCAAACAAGCATTTCTTTATGGTGCTGTCACCTCAATTGCTCTTCTTGTAAGTATATTTAATCACTAATTTGATTATTATCTGTGAATTTTCTGGATATATGATTTTGATATCTTAACTTAGTGATTTTCATTATTTGTAATTCATTCTTAATTAGTTTTTCCATTTGTTGTTCAATTGTGAATAATTGTTCATTCTCCAGGCACTTTCCATACTTGTTGATTACTACTACTACCAACGATGGACGTCATCTGTTTTCAATCTCTCAGTGTATAATGTCTTGGGAGGTGGTGAGAGCCATTTGTGTGGGACTGAGGGGCCACTTTTTTATATAAGGAATGGATTTAACAACTTCAACTTCTGTTTCATCCTTGCTTTGCTTTTCCTTGGAATTCTGCCAATTGCAAGGAAAAAGTATGCCCCAGACCTGCTTGTTGTAATCTCTCCTCTTTATATATGGCTTGCCTTTATGTCTCTGCAGCCACACAAAGAAGAAAGGTATGATTAATCTTTATTATCTTAAACGTCCTTACCAATTTTTGTTTAGATTTTATCTTTCCTCTTTGGTTTTCCTGACATAAAATAGATTAATGAATATAGAATATACTATTGTAGGACTTTTAGAAGTTTCAAGGAGGGTTCAGAAATTGCTTTGGCCCTTATGCTAATCTTGCATGATATGTTGTGCAAGGGAACAAACGCAGCAGTTGTTATTGCCTTTTTGCATGTCCTTAAAAACCTTTAATGTGCTTTTTGAATAGCTACCTCTGTTCTAGAAAGAAATTTGTAGCTAATTTGAGGTCTTACTGGATTCTCATTTTGTCATCCATCTTGCCTGCTTTGAGGTGTAACAGTTCATTATATTTAATTGTCAGTGCAGATTCCTTTATCCCATATACCCGCTTGTTTGTATCGCTGCTTCAGCTGTCATTGAGAGCTTTCCTGATCTTTTCCGAGACAAATATAATCCCCATGATAATTCTATTATAGTTATGGTGGGCATCTTCTACATCTCTTTGATTCTCTATGCCTACAATATTAATCTCTCATTCAAATACTTTTGGCATGTTTATGCAGATAGCCAAAATTCTTAGACCTCTGGCCCTCAGCTTCATATTATGTGCCTCGCATGCACGCACAGTTTCATTGATCAATGGTTATGCTGCTCCTTTGGAGGTTTACAAGATCTTGGAGCACCATGATGATGCAGGAACTGGTAATGAATACTTTTTCTTCCACAATGCACTATTATCGTAGCTTATTTATTTTTATTAAGTATTACTTATCTGAAAATAGCTTTTCTTTCGGACAGCAGCAATGTACAGTTGACATTTATGTTTATGTAGAACTTTATCAAGAATGCATAACATTATATTTCCTTGCATGTAGCTCTTTTTTCCTTTACTAATGTCAATTGTCTGTTTTTCTCAATTGCCTTGTAGTTATAATAAAAATTTTCATAGATGAACTCATTTACTAGATTTTCCTGATTTATATAATTGTTTATACATGCCATGTATGCTGAAGAATGATGTTATCAACAAAATCAAAAGCTCTATTCTAGGTGAATGGAAAAAATATAAAGCAAAATATTTTTAATGATTGCAGGTTCTATACTTTGTGTTGGAAGTGAGTGGCACCGTTTTCCATCATCATTTTTTGTTCCTAATTATGTTGGTGAAGTGAGATGGATTGATGATGGATTCCGAGGTCTTCTTCCATTCCCTTTCAATGCTACTCTTGGTGGGACTTCAGCTGGACCACCATACTTCAACAATAAAAACAAGGCATCAGATCAGCAATATGTAATAACTAGCTCGAATAGAATAACTTTAATCTCTATGCTTTTACATTCGTATGTTTTTCTGGTGTAGTAATTGACCCAGAATGTGAATTGCAGCTCCAGGATCTTCAAGCTTGTACATTCCTGGTTGAGTTGCAGCTCAACCGGCCTTACCCTTATCGTGGAAATGACTTATCAACATGGGAGGTAAAAAACAGTATATTTTTATTTATTTTTTCCCTTTTTATGTTCTTCTTCTCATATGATTTATTGAAATTGCACCTGTTCCAGCCTATTGCAGCACTGCCTTACTTGGACAGGGAGCTCTCACCTGCCAAGTATCGGTCATTTTTCATCCCATACTTGTGGCAGCGGAAGAATGTCTTTGGCATGTACAAGCTTCTGAAAAGAGTATCAAAACCAAAATGATAAATGACATCTTTGTTATTTCCTCCTCTGTTCTAGTGTTTTTTTTTTTCCTGTAAGGAGTAACCTGAAAAATACATAAAAGAAAGGAAAAACAGAACACTAACACACATTGACCCCAGTTTTTAGATGATTTTATAGTCGTTCTTGCTTTATTTAGGCTTTATGCCGTGTTTGTGCTGATTAAGTTCTCTTGTTACTTGGTTTGTTTAATTGATTTCATTTCCTCGGTTCTAAGAAAAGTTTACAAATCAGCAGATCAAATATATTTTAGTGCAGTTGAAGGGACCAATATTACACTGGTTTGCATGTATGGCAAGCGATGCATTCTTTATACCACAATTACTGCGATGAAAAATCGAAAATGTTGATCGTCACCTAACCAATAAAACTATGCAAATCCAGGAAATAATGTGTCGATCAAACATGATAACGGGAAGGACTGACAGGTAAGGTTGAGATGCATGAGCGAGGAATTGCTGCAGCAAGCATGAAGGTGCCTGCTTCGTTAACACATTCAGAGCCATGGAGCTATACTTTGGCAACATCTGAAAGCACGGTTATGCCATCAGCCAAGGAATGGGTACTGCCATCATAAGGGTTTCATTCGCCACAACCCTTTCCCTGCCAAGCAATCCTATGCCATTTGAAGCATGTGGCCACGGGCACACTTTCCCATACCCTGTAACATTGCAAAATTTGCACTTCACTCAACTCATCATATCAACCCAAAGCAGTTTGATCAAACGCTTCTAAATGAGAAGTTATCAAGTTAACAACTTACAAGTTGCAAGAAAAATCTAACCTAACCTTTTAGTCTCTTATATTGTCATCCCATCTATGGATATGTAAAGATTTTAATGCAAAACCTTTCCTTTAAAAAGTAAAAGATGATATTTTTTTTGAAAAAAAAAAATTCCAGAACATAATTCTAACTGGAGTATGATATATAATATTAATATGTTTAATTTAAAAATGTTATGACATAAAATGGTAAGTTAATATTTTCAAAAGATATATATATATATATATATGAACATAAAATGTAAAAATTCGATTGAAATTTCAAGATTCCAAAAAATCTTTTGTTTATGATTATGATAAGGTCTTTAATTTATTTATTTTTGTCCATTTTTGGTATTTTTGTGATTCATTACACATTTAAAATCATATAATCTCTTTGTTCTTCCTCGTTCCCTCACTATTAGATAATTAACTGTTTTTTTTTTTTTCTTGAAAATAGTTAAACCAATTAAAAAGAGAATGAAGAACGAGTCTCTCTCCTATTATCATTCCTTAAAAATAGAAAACTTGAATAACTACCGTATGACCCAAAAAACCACTAACAATCCCTCCTTATAAATTTACCCTTTGTTTTACAAGCTTTGATAACCCAATAAAGGAAAAAAAAAAAAAGCAAAAGCAATAAAATAAAATGGCAAAAGCTTCCGTGATTGCCCTTGTTTCCTTGGCAATTTGCCTTTCGTCCTTCCTCAGCTTATCCTATGCCGAAGACCGCTTCTTCGTCGAAGGCAAAGTTTACTGTGACACTTGCCGTGTGGAATTTGAGACCAGAATCAGCGAACCTATTAAAGGTAAAATCAAATTACTACTTGTTCACAATCTTCTTTTCGTTTCTTATGTTGTGATAAACCTTCAGTAATGCCACTAACATGATATGTTACGAATATGAAATTTAGTCTGATTAATTCATGCAAACATTTTTAAGAAAAATTTTTTCATATCCCAAATTAAGAGTTTTTTGTAAAAGAAAAAAAAAGAGATATGCAATAAGCCCTATGAGAAGACAGTCAACTCGTTTCACCGGCACCGACGCACACATATAGTATCGTTTTGAGGCATAAATGCAGCGAGCATGTATATCAACCCCAAACAAGTTCTACGTATAGAAATTCGAACTTTGAACATACGATTTAGTTATTATTTTTAGTAGATTCCTTTATCATTTATTCGATTTACGAGAGACAAATGACGATGTTGCTCGTAAAGATTGATTCAATTTATCAAAATCGGCTGACGAAGTTTTGGTATATATATCTTGTGGTTTTTTACAGGTGCAACAGTGAACTTGGAATGCAGGAACCGTACCGTCGATGGCAGTATCACATACAGCCGAGGGGCAACTACAGACGAATTGGGCAAATACAGCATCGAAGTCGAGGGTGATCACGCGGAAGAAATTTGTGAAGTCAGTGTTACCAAGAGTCCCAGGGAAGATTGTAATGAATTCATGGAAGCATGGAGAAAAGCCAGGGTTCTCCTCACCAAGAAGAATGGAGTAATCGCGCCCGTTAGATTTGCCAACAGTCTTGGGTTCTTGAAGAAGAAAGCTGTCCCTGGTTGTGCTCAAGTTCTTAAAGAAATGGGTTTCGTTCCTCTTCACTAAGGACATTAAAGATTTTTACTTGTAGCACACTTCACCTTTTACCTATATAAAAACAATGTTTAGCATCTTTTTTTGTTCAATTATGGGCAAACCTAGATGCACTAATGTATTGATCTTAATATAACAATCTATAATTTCTTATATAAATCGTGTTTTTAATTTTTTATCCCAACCATCCTCTCTTCCTGATGTAATTAGAAATATTTTCAAATTTACTTAAACCTAATTTTTTTCTCCAATAATGCGATCAGATATGTTTCTTGAATTTACTTAAATTTAATAATTTCTTTTATTGATCTTAAAAGATTTTAGATTTTCGGTTTGAAATCTCAAGAATTAATGTAGTTCTAATTTAACTTGTTTCCTTCCTCAGAAATTCAGATAAGTAAACCATTAACAGTTATTTGGCTAAAACAAATATTAAAAGTTTAACATCACAGTTTTCTAATCTTTTTTGTAAAATTTTTTCCCACAAGAAATGCACACACACACACACACACACACACACACACACACACACACACACACACACACACACACACACACACACACACACTTTTCATTACTCTCATTTCAGGTGCATGTCCAATCTCATGTTACTCAATTTTAGGTCTATTTGCATGAACTGTCATCAATCATCATAGCAGAATTGCATTGCAGAGGCAACAAGCTTCTGCTGTATAAATTTAATAGGATAAATAAGTAAAGTTTTCCAATCCAAAAAATAATAATAATGTGATTTTAATTAAATTAAAGACCTAAATAACCTCTTACTCAAAAAGTCAAATTGAAATCTTCTGTTTTTTCTAATAAAATATATGATTTTTTTTTTGGCTAAGAACAACCGTTATAATTAAGTTATTATTCATAATTTATCAAAAAATTCTACTAAAATAAGATTTTAGTGCTCCATATTGTTGATGGTTGACTCATTTTTTCACCATATAAAATATGGGTCTAATTAATTCCATCAAAAAGCTAATTTTGATAGCCATAGAGCAATGCAAGAATAGATTGATGCTACCAACTTTCAATTTTTAGATCATATAAATCACATGCAAAGATATAGTCATGTTATCCTTTTAATTTTGTTGATTTTTGAAAAAAAAAAGTTAGCACTTATATTAAAGAAATAGTCTATGAAATATTTTAATTTTCTTATTATTATTTACATAAAAATCAATGAAATTAAAAGGATAGTGACAAATGTCAATAAAATTGAAATACAACGACAAAATTAAATTTTGAATCATAATCTAGTGACAAATTTAATCCTAATCCCTATTTGTCAATATACTTGTTACATATAGTTCTCATGAATTTGCAGTATGGTCATTTTTGTCCCATGAAATATTGAGTCAAATTCTTTTTCTAACAAAGAATCCAAATCTAAGATCATAAACACTAAGAATATATATGGTGCGAAAAAGATTTCTATGGAGGGCCTTAAACTCTTTTGCACAAACTTTTTTTTTTTTGGTCAATTTATTCTGTGTTTAATTCAATGAATGGAATCCTTAATGGTCAACATTGTTCCACCACTATCCAACTTGATATCATTATGAAAATAGTAAATCAAATATTGGCTTTTTTTTCCCCAAATTTCAAAAATAAAAGAAAATTTCCATTTAAGTTATAATTAAATGAGGCATATATTAATTTATGTAAAGCCTAATTGCTATTCTGATATTTATTATTTTTAAGCAGAGGAAATTTGCAAATCGATTTTAAAATTTTCATTTATTTAATTTTTTTATACTTATTTTATTATTGCTTTCTAAAAAAATAAAGCTTTAATCCTAACAACACGTAATGTTGTTTTATACAAACTATTTTGAGCTACAATGACCCTTCTTTCATCTTAAAAATCTTACCCTTACTTTATTGGATTTCACATATGAAATCACTAAATTAAAACCTCAAATTCTAAGTCAGATGGTGGACAATCGGCAAAATATCAAATGGATTGTAAATTCAAGAGTTTTTTTATTTAATAATTAAAATGCTTCGAAAGGAATTGCTTTTATGAAAAAGATAATAGGAAAGAGCAAAAAATGGAAAAAAAATAATATTTAAATTTATCGCTTTATTTAAAATGATTAATCAAATTTACTATTTTTTTGTTTAATGTCATGAATAATTCATAAATTATATTTAAATGTTTAATATTATAGTTAAATTTTAAAAAATTTTAATATAAATTTTAAATTATAAATCTATTAATTAATATGATATTTTGAGAGTATTTGATTCGTGAAATCTTGAATTCTTAGGGAAAATATGATATTCGAAAAAATGTGATACTCTGAAAAAATTTTGATTTTCTAAATATCCTATTTTCATATTCCTATTTGGTCGGAGGAATTTATATTTATTAAATCATGTATTTTAATCATAATTTATTTGATAACCTTGTAAAAAAATTTTCATTTTGTTTTAAAAAATATATACACAATAAATGATGCTTTTATCATCAAATGAAATAAAAAGATTCTATTTAATTTAAAAAATAAATATACTTAATTATGATATTTAATTACACATTATGTCATTATTATTTGTATATAAAAATATAAAATACTTAATTACGATATTTAATTAAAAGAATTGCTGTAATTACACATTAGATACCTTTCTTCTTCTCGTTGGTATGATAAACCAACGTCACTTTTTTGGCCTTTTGAGTTGTGAACTAGAATGCTGATAGAATTATTTAAGCTGTCTAAACCTTTGAATATAGTCATAGATTATCATTATTACTAGTATTTTGAGTTGGATATTGGACAGTCCGAGTTTGGAAAGAATGACTGGAAAAAGAGAACTTACGGTGCCAAGTATGGAGAAGTTTCAATAGAAAAGCTGCTTTTTGTCACTTCGTACATTTAGCAGACGGTGATCCCAAATTAATTTTGAAGTGTGGAAATAACAAATCGAGCTGACTCCCACATCTGTGAATCTTGTTGGTTGTACGCATATACAGTTAATACGTGTCTATTATGGAGTTTTAATGAAGAAATATCATAATCGAGTTATTTAAAAATAATATTTTTTTCATTAAAACATCGTAATAGAATTATTTCAAATCGCTTCATAACCCAATTACAGTTTATATTTAAGAGAAATGTTGTAATAATCAGTTATAAAATATATAAAAAAATTTTTAAAAAAATATCAATTCAATGTTTTGTTAAAAAAAAATCATAATTGATTTAAAATAAAATTTAATTTCAGTTTTAGATTTTATTTTTCAAAAAAATAACATAAATAGAAAAAAAATTTTATTCAAATCAAAGTTGAAACTTAAGCAACTTTTCATCCAAAATTTTAAAATACATCGAGAAAATTAAATTTTTTATTTTGAAAATTTGAATACCGTTGAAATTTTGATATTTTTTCAATTAATCAAATAATTTTGAACCAAACGTAAAAATAAATATCCATAATCAAGATTTTTAAAAAATATTTTTGAATTTCCACGAACCAAATGCCATCTTTGCAGATTATTTGTTTTTCACTTGTCATTATTTAAAATTAATCAAGTTAGAGGTGAATACTAGATTAATTATCATATTCATAATTTAAATATCATTTTAAAAATTTTTTAAATTTAAATATCATATTGAACATTTTAATATAGCATAAATATCATTTATAATATTAATTTTTTTATTTTTTAATGAAAGTAATTTATTAATGTACTTTTTAATTTGGTTAAAAAGTGATAAAAGAAATTATCTTTTTCCAAATAAATGATATTCTATATAATAATTTAACTTTTAATTATTTTTGAATTAAATTAGAAATTATAGTGATAAAATTGCATCTATTCAAATATATGTGGTAAATTTGATGCATCAAGTGAAATGATAAATTTAAACCTTATAAAAAAAAATCAACAAAATATTAAACTAGAATTTATTGTTCATCACATGCTATGCTTATCATGTAAATCATCAAATTCTAAATATAGAAGATTTTGAAGAAATAATATAGCACTAGGTTATAAATATTGATGGTGAAGTCAACTTCTGGATAATTAAAGCCTTGTTTCATGAGATTGGAATAGTCTATTTTCTAGGCATTGACCCCTTCAATTTTTGGTGGTTGATCTTGTTCAATTATGGTTGCCCAATAAATCTAATGTATGCTTCAAAAAATAAACATAATGAAAGAGAATTAAGAGATCAATAAAAAGAAAGCCTCTTGGAAGGTAAACAAAAGATAAAATTAAATTTTTTAAAAAAATTTCTTCACCAAAAGTGCAAGAGTAAACTTTTTTTTTTCCAACTGAAGTGTAAAGGTTTATACTTTATACCATGCAAGAATATATATATATCCCTTATAATCATAATGAATGGTTTATACTCAATAAATTTTGCAATAAGATTCAACTTGTTAATTGAAAATTCTCTACCAAAAGTAAATTTTTTTAGAGAATAAACCTGTTAATTAAAGATTGAGAATATTGATTTAGGGAAATGATTTTTTTCACTATTTAAAAATTAGTAAAAATTTTCACTACTTCATTTAAAGGTGATAAATGCACTTTTAACTAAATTTATGAATAATATTTACTCAAATTATTTTTAGTTTTTAATTAATTTTATATTTGTTTTAAAATTATTAAATTTCAACAATAAATTTAGTTAAAAGTATATTTATCACCTATAAATAAAATGATAAAAACTTTGACTAATTTTTAAGGAGTAGAAATGAATCATTTCTTGTTAAATTATTAAATAATTACTACTAATTAAATAGTTCCTTGTTTATAATTTGATTTTGACACATCCTAAAGTTGATTTGAAATAAAAGAACATGGAGTTATACTATATTCTCCAATTATTACTATTATGGTTGTAAATTTCTATTTGTTACTCATAATTGTGTAATTTTTTGATATAATATTGAATTTTAATTTTAATAATAAGAGATCTATGATCTATCTTTGATAATATCAAATAAAAACAATCATGATTTGTTTGGTGAAGATGAAATTATTATGTTTTTATTTTATCATTTTAGATGCCTTATTTTTATAGGAAAGTATGAACTAACATTCTTTTATGGAAGAAAAAGTGACAAATGGTAGAGGCAATAATTTACATGAATGTTTAAGATTAGCTAATAAAAAATTATTGTTTTATACATCAATTGATTTTATTTTTATTT